GTATATATTATGTCGATTTTTGTAATACTGACACTCAATAAATTTAATTATTTATCTATGTATCTTATTTATTTACACACCGAGAAAAACTATTGGTTTCATATTTTTTTCAGAGAAATGGGGTTCGAACTAATGAACCTCAAACTGCTATTCTGTCCTAAACCGACCGTACCTTTACGACCTCAGCCATTCGCACATTTGGCACACAACATTTTTAGGAAACTTATATCTTTCATTTTAAAAATAATACTTTATATTTTTACAAAAGACTACGGTTTTGTAAAACCAATTGGCCGAGATCGTTAAGTGACCACTACGATTGCTCAGCGTCTCTCGGTTCGATTCCAGAAGAGGCACAAAAATCGATTGTATAGTTTTTCAAAATTATCAAATATTAGTTCAAAATATTAAATTCAGGTGTCGCATTTCGACCTTGACACTTAGTAAATTTCTGAAAAACAAATAACTCAAGTTTCGCACTTGACTGTAAGAGAGATAAGAACATAAAGAGAAAAAAAAAAAAAGTGGAGGAAGCACTGGGGAAAGAGAGGGGTAGAGGCAGATGATGAATAAGAGAGATGTGTATGATACATATTCTTTATTCAAATTCAATATTAATATAATATAGGAATAAAAATAACTTTTATCATCAATAACACAAATAGCCGAGTGGTTTAAGTGACCGCATACTCGGTGAAATCGCTCTGGAGGCAGACACAAGGTGAAGTGGATCGAATCCGGCAGAAGGCGACGACGAGCAGCTCTGAAGCAGAAAAAATGGAGCAGTGCTGGTGAATGGCTGTTGGCGAGCGCGAAGGGTCCTGAAACGAACACACCAAGTGATGGTCAACCAGAGGTCCATGATACGAGAGGTTACACGCAGAGAGACACATTGCGGAAGATGCATGCCGAACCCGAAAATCTACCCAAAAACCACAACATGCGAAAAAAACACCAAAAAAGGAAAAAAAATGTGAAAAAAAGCGAAAAAAAAGGAAAAAAAAGGGAAAAAGGAGGAGGAGGAGGAGGAAGGGGAGGGGGAGAACCAAAAAAAACCCCCTAAGTCCCAGATCAATTTTTCTCTTTTCTGTTCAGCGTTGAAACTTTTTTATGTTTTTTAGTGTTCCCTCACACCAATTCCCAAAGTCAACATTCGAATGAAATGAAGTCCACGTTGAAATTTTCACGAGAAAAAATTACTGGGACTTAGTTAAAATATTTTTTAACTTTGCCCCAATAAAATTTTCTCGTTGTGAAATATTCAATGTGAGCCTCATTCATTCGAATGTTGGCTTTGGGATGATATAGCATGCATAAATAACTCGTCTGTCTTAATTGAAAAGGTTTCAGAAAATTTGGACTTAAAAAAAAAATTATCTGAAAGGACTTAGAAAAAAAAATTATTCGAAAGAATTATAATCAGAAAATTTGGACTTAAAAAAAAAAATAACTAAAAGGACTTAGAAAAAAAAAATTATTCGAAAAAATTATAATCAGAAAATTTGGACTTAGAAAAAAAATTATTCGAGAGAATTATTTAATTAATCGATGATATGATATTAATCGAATCCAAAAAATTATCTTAATCGAATCATAATTGTTGATATGACTTGATAAAACATGTAAAACCTTTACAATTAATCGAGACACAAACAAATATAATTGATTTGAATTCAACAAAACATTAAAAATATAAATTAATAATTATTCGAAACAAACTAGAATTGTAAAAACTTTAAAAATTATTCATTACTTTAAATCGTTTCAAAATCAAATAAAAAAGTCTTTGAATTTAAATATTGAATGAAATGACGACAATGTTTTGTTTTATTCAAACCAACTCTTCAAAACTTTAATCAAATTACATCAACTCGAATAAGAAAATAATTGCATTAATAGAACAAAAGTATAAATATTGAGAAAATGTCTCTCAAACATGTAGCCAAAGCAATTATGGAATAATTAGTTCAATAATTTTTAGAGCAAACTTATTCGACTATTGTATTTATATAAAAATGTATCGAGTTGATGCAGTATTAATTAAAGAGTTATGATTAATAAGATTGAATGTGCATGCAGTTAATATCGCTACAGGGAAAACACATGACTCTTGATAATAGTAATGTAATCCTAAAAATCATGTAAAAATGTAAAAAATTCCATTAGGAATGAAATAGAACAGCAAACAACATCTACAAAGTTTGTAAAAAAGATAATATAGCAATAAGTATCTTTTCCTTTACAAAATAGTACAAAATCCTTGCTAACGTGAGATATTATTACTGTTGAAATGCCATCTGATAAACAGACTCTTCAGAATTAGAGTTCTATCTGAAATACCATTAATTTAGGAGTTTCTCAAGGGTGTATGCTAGGACCCCTTCCGTACATCCTATATACAAATGATATTCAGATGAAACATTCGCTGAAGATGATGCAGTCATCAGGATAGCAAATTAACAACAATATTATCAAAGAATGATTGAATCTAATTTAATATAAAAGAAATCAATAAATTCATAATGCACCTACACAAAGTCATTCAACTCATAGCCTTATTTATAGGATAACAAAATATTCTGATTGTCTATTTATGGAACTATAATCAAAAAAACAATTTAACTTTCATATTATGACTTTACTTTTATATTGATATAATATATTTATAAATTACACTGGTTTCAATAAATAAAAAATTGAATCAATGTGTTCACCATAACAAATCGAATAAATAAACAGAAACTTTTACACATATGTCTGCCAAATTAATTTTAAATCTCTCATTAATATAAAACTTGAATTAAATGAACAAATGATGTAATGTATTTGAGCCATTACTAAAATTTTAAAAACTACAAACTAATGTAGTAATGTTTATCAAAACATAATTGAAACTTTATTATCAGCAGATATATGTGTATAAAAATAATAATAATTAATACGAGCCAGCTAATATATCACTAAAATACATACAGACGCTGCTTTGATTTGAATGTTATCTTACAAACTTGTTCAATATATATATACGAGCACATAATAAACATATCTAAACTGTCCTTTTCTCCATTGAAAATGTTTAAAATAATAAATAATCCTAGTTGATGTGCATAATTCCAATTTAATTTATACTATTTTCATTGTTATATTCATATAATGTTATTACAGATTCAATTTTAGCAGAAAAATGATATATATGTAGTTCTGAATAAATAGTTGGTTTAATTTAATGACAAGTTAATAAAATGGCATTGAATATATCAATAGTTAGCATTAAAATAATTTAAAACACTATGGGTGTATCTGATGTATTATGATAAATGCCTGTATATATAATCAGAAATATATTCTTTGACTCGCTTTGTAAAAAACATGCTTTTCACTCACATTGAGATACATCTTCTACAGCAACTGCTCGAACACAAAACCAATAAAAGAACCACCTCTGGAGTATCTGCCAGAAATCTCAAGTACTCGACACAAAATCACTACTTTACAACCACTACATAACTTTGTCTTTTATAAGTCTATTGGACATGTTGCAATTGTCCGAGTAAAGTCTTTGCACAATACACGACACACGACTTACTTAGAGACTTTTGTGAACTTTAAATTCGATATTAAACAGATATGAAGTGAAAGTACTCAGGTATAACCTACAAAAGCACATATAAAAATTATACATTTTACAATAGCATATGTATACATAAAGGATACATTGGCGCTGTAAATAAATTGTTTAATTATAAAATTGATTCAAAATGGAGGCCCTGAAAGAGATACTTATCAAATTATTCAAGGTACACCTGGGCACTTCACACGTATCCATTTTTCGGCTTTTAATTAACGTTTCACGATATATTTATTATATCAAATTGATCTACTAAATTAATTACACGCTAAGATGTATAAATTAATTAAAACTAATCAAAGATTTAATTAAAAACTCTTAATTAACGCCAAAACATGTTCAGTCACAAAAATCTCTTTGACAAATGAGGTTTGAAGTTAGCAACACGACCGCTGATGGCGCTTGTACAATTTTAAGCGCGAAATTCAAACAGAAAATATGAACATGCTGATATTCAAACATATTTTACAATATTACTTAGCTTAAGATTGTTTTATAAAACTAATTTAGCTTATTAATTAATTTAGTTTTCAAACTTAGAATATCTAAAAAATTTATAAAATATATACATAAACTTACAATTAAAATTAATTATACAAAATATTGAAGAACCAAATGATTGTATTTAATATAATTTTAATAATAGTATGCATATATATATAAATATATATATATATATATATGTAATATATATAAAATTAAAAATAATCATTATGTTATACTATTATTATAAATGTATAAAACAATATTTATCACTATTTGTGTTCTTATTTATTATTATAATGTACAAATTATATTAAAAAAATAAAATAGTTTAAAATACAATGCTTAAGTTTCACATTATTTATCGTTATAGATATAATATAAAAACATCTTTAGATTAATTTTAATAATTAAATACAATATTAATTACTTATGCTGATTATTTACACAACTTGCCTTAAGTTTCTGCAACTTGCCTTAAGGCACTTACTACTAATTTATTCATAAAATTTAGAACTTATTGTAAATACTATTAGATTAAAATATTATAAATTTGTAATTGGTACATAAAAAAACTTAATAGTGTTAAATAGTTAATAGTAGTAAATATACTAGTATATATATATGTATATATATATATATATATATATATATATATATATAAAGTATTGATTTATTATTATAACACAATATTTAGCTTACCACAGAATTCATTTTCCTCCATCAACTTCTCCCTCGAGGTACATCGTGACTTTCTTATTCCTATTTCAAATGTCGACAAACCCAACCTAATTTACATCAAATCAGTGTCGACTAGTTAGTGATGTTAACTTTTTAAATATTTATAAAATATAACAATATTAATAATAAACTGCATATCAAATTAATGTCATTTATACTCTCTCATTTGTTTTAGTAAAGTATCGTAAAGCAGTGTTGGTGCATCCATGCCCCAGAGGAAGTCGATGTGGTTGAATTGCTTGAAGGGGACCCTGAACATGCCCATTGCTGATTCTCCTAATTGACCGTAGAGACGTTTCACATCCTAAGAAAGGAAATATAGTAATAATAAATTACTTAAATATTTTATAAAGCAACTATTTAAGAAGTTACAAGAGATATAAGAAATAAAGACACAAATCAGTTCGATTTGTGTCTTTATTTTATTATTATTATATTAGTTTTTTTTCTAAAATCAATTATTTTGTTGAAAAAAGCAGAAAGTTCTTTGAATCATTTAAATCGGACGCTTAGTTCTCTCAAAAAGTGCCATTTTTTTAACATTTAGCTCTGTACCTCCGAAACCTCTGGGCCTACCTTTGCCAAAAACTAATCAGCACATCTCCCTATCAATAGGAATCGAATGTTTTTTAAACCATTCAAATCGGTTGATCCGTTCTCTCAAAAACTCGCTTCCTATTTTTTTCACTCTTTGCTCCATATCTCCGTAACGGCTGGACCTGCCTTTGCCAAAAACTAATCAGCACATCTCCTTATCAATAGGGATCGAATGTTTTTTAAACCATTAAAATCGGTTGATCCGTGCGCCCGAAAACGTGGACGAAAAAATGCGGACATACAAAACACACACACACATCCATTTTTCCTGTGGTATGCCAAAATGTTCAGAAACCTTCAAAACGTCGAGAAATGCAAAAATTTTCATTTTCGATTTTCGGCCCATTACTATAACTACCCTACGGGAAGTTAAAAATCAGTTTTTTCAAGTCATTTTTTTCAAAAACGCATTTTTTCAAAAATTTCTAAGTACTCAAAAATCATTTTTTTAAGTTTAAAAAAATCGCTTATAAAAAAAATTTGGCACGGAAAGTTTCAGCAATTTGTCTTAAGGCACGATGCCATACACCACTAGTTCTTCAATTATTTACCTGTGGTCCAGCCAACCAGTCATTGTCCGAATAATGCAATGCAATAGGCAAGGTGATGGCTGATAAATTATAAGGCGGAGGAGTAGCCTGGTTGTACCTTCTCCTGTTCTCGGCAACTCCGTAGTCATAATGTCTGAACCAACCACCTATAAAAATCAAAATAAAAGTTAAATCCGATGAAGATACTACACTGGTATCATATCAATTACCCACTTCCAAAATTCATCTCAGAATAGAGTTAAATTATTAGACAATTTAATTTTCTATATCAATTTCTATTTATTACCGCTATTTATCTCCTGTGCATAATGTATAACAGTCTTGGTGCTGGTGCCTGCAGGTGTATGTCCAATGATAACAGGCAGCAAAGTGCTGTTGAATTGAGCAGCATCAAAACCACAAAAAATGAATACAGTATTTTCACAAATAATCTTCTCAGCTCTCGTTGCTTCGCAACCATACTTGGCAAGAAGTTTTAGCAACTTGTTCTGGGGCAGAAATTGGTTGGCACCGAGGAGACGGATGATAAACTGATGGAAAATAGTATACACATATGAGTAAAAGAAGGTGTTGATGAAGTTGGTGTCTGTTAATACCTCTAAGTTTCTTGACATTGGTGCTAAAAGTCTGATTGGACTCTTGACGTGTCCCATATAGGCAACTGGTGCCAAGGTAAAAGCTGCTTTGAGTTTGGAGTTGAATTCTGGACGACTGCTCAACATCACAAAGGCCATTGTTGTACCCATAGAATGACCTTAAGGTAAAAATAATAATTACAAAATTCCTCGTACAATTTTCTAAATATCTCGACATCTGGTGTCATTCAACTTGTTACTTTCTAAATCGGCGTTGCAATATTTCCTTTTGTCAGGTGTTAATGAATTTAAGGGGCACACCTAGTGTGAAATTTTCAAAATATCATATTTTCAATTTTTCCATATTTCGATAGGTTATACCTTTAAAAATAACATACTAAAATTTTAAATCCATATCTTAGATAGTTTTTGAGTCACAGCCATTTAAAGAGTATATATATATAGTATATAGTATAACGATCATATTATCTTTAAACGCGTTTTTCTCGAAACAGCATTTTTCGAATTTGCTGCAGCGATTACTCAAAAACAAATGATCCGATCACTATCGAATTTATTTTACATGTTTTATATATAGTTCTCCGTACAATGACCTATCGATTTTTTGATCTGATTAAAAATCGAATTTTGGCAGGCCAAAAACGACCAAAATTTTGGGTAAAATTCGAGTATCTTTTTTAAAACGCCGCCATATTGTCAATTTTTTTTTTCGTAAGTCATTTTACACACAATAATATATAGTTTAACGAGAATTTTTTTTTTAGATTTCATCCACATAGAAGGCAGCAGTGAAGGGCCTTTTTTCGCACCGTTGGAGATCGACGATAATTTAAAAAATATTCAATATTTTTCTTCAAAAATTCTACTATGTATTCTTAAAACATTTATAAATATATTCTTAAAATTTTGAAATGATTGTTAAAGTATTTTTTAAATATAAATTCCCAAAAATGACCTTTGTGGTAATAATTCATCCACGTTTCAGAAATAATAAAATTATTAAATAAGATTTTTTTTCCTTACCGACGTAAAGAAGTCTTCCTTCCATGTTCCTGACTTTGTTGATGTAGTCGACGACTGCAGGGATGTCGTAGTATCCCATTTCGTGCCAACTAGAAAAAGAAATAAAAATCTATAAAAATAATCGTCCAAGTTAGTATGCCCAATGAGTTTTACTAATTTCAGCAAGTTTTTGCGATTTAAGTTCTGAAGAGATTTCCTGGTTTTTGGGCTCATTTTAGTGTCTAGAGTGATCAGGGTTGATTGAAACCACCTGTCAACTTCTTTAAATTCGAAAACTTTCACTTTGGTTTTCAATAAAAGCTGCAAACATCAAATGTAGATAATGGATCAACGTTTAGACAAATAACTCCTTTATTTATTCTAGTTGAAAATTTACTTCCTAAACTTCTGCAAGATCTATTGTACTTGCCCTTCTGATTTCAATTTCCTATATTCTCTGTATCTATTAGTTTCTTTTCCACAATCATACCCAGTAAAAAATTAGAAAATTTTGGTATTTTGCAATTCCAATAAATACTTTACCGTAATATTATTAGTGAGTTTAACTAATTAAAGCAAGATTTTTTTCCTGAGATTTAAATTCTGAAGAGATTTCGTGCCAACTAGGAAGAAAATAGGTAATTATAAAAATAAAATTAATAATTGGTCAAAGATCTCTAAATGTTATAGAGATTTGACGTCCAAGTTAGTACGTTTGACTAAGTTCTGCAAGTCTGATCAGGATTTAAATTCTAAAGAAATATCCTAGTTTTTAGACTCATATTAGTATCTGGAAAAATCAGAATCAAATTTTCCTGATTGAAACTACCTATAGGCAAGTTTAATTTTGAAAACCAAGAAAAATTGCAAACATCAAAGGCAGTGACTTATAAAAAAGTAATGTGGTGTTGTCACATGATGGGCCAAGTTTAGAAAATTATTTCTTTTCTTTGCTTTATTTAAAAATTTTGTCCCTGTGATTTTAATTTCCCATATTTTCCTCATCATCTGTCAATTATTTCACAAGAAGTACTATCCAGTTTCTTTTCCTTTCCACAATCATATACAGCAAAAAATTACAAAAATTCTAATAGCGATTTTGTAATTCCAATAAATATTTTGTCGTAATATTATTTTCTTAGTAATTCGTACCTGAATTCCCAAAAGTTATCATCTTCAACACTGTAAGAGACATGGTTCTTCGAATAGGTGTTTCCTCTTGCATTTCCTAACCAGACATCGTATCCTGAATCAGCCAATCTGTAAGCTACAAAAAAATAAAAATTATTAAATATTATTATAAATAATATATTTTATATGAGTATTTTACCTAAGGCTTTTTCTGGTCCTGGAATGATCCAATCGGCAGAGCATCCTAGTAGGCCATGTTGGAGGAGGACTGGTTGCCTGCTATCATCCTAAAATAATAAAATATTTTTTTACAAAGTTTGATATTGTTAAAATGTGATGAAAAATTCCAACTAGTTGGTTTGGTATTTAGCCTTGAGGCAAGTTACATGAACTTCCCGAAATGTGTAAATAATCGACTTAAGCAAAAAAAAATGTGTAAATAATATACTTCATTAATCCTACTTTTAAAAAAAAACGATAATAATTTTAGCAAACTTTGACGAATTTTTAAAATTAAACTACTTGTCGTTAGGCCGTAATATTACAGTAAGTTCTATAAGATCATGATGTATATCGCCAAAAAAATTTCCATGAAAATCGGCTTAAATTTTTTTTCAACAGTTAATTACAAGAAAACGGCTCGGTAGATTTTCACCTAAAATTAATCAGTACCATTCCCAACTAATATCTTTCGAACAGTTTTTGATTTTTTAAAATCGTTCGGTAGGATGAGCTTAAATGTGGACGAAAAGTTTTTTTCAAATTACAAAGAAACGGCTTGGCAGATCGTTGCACAAAACTGACAAACAATAGTCCTCACCGAAATACATCAAATGGCTTTTAAATTTCTAAAATCGGTTCAGGCGTTTTTGAGAAAACGTCGATCAAAAGTCTAATTTTGACAAATGCCAAAAAGACCATACTGATTTTTGCAAACTTTGACGAATTTTTAAAGCTGAACCAGTTGTCGTAGGGCCGTAATATTTTAGTACGATCTAGAAGACTATGGTATCTACCGTCAAAAAAATAATCATAAAAATCGTCGAATTTTTTTTTTAAAAACTTTATTACAAGAAAACGGCCCGGCCGATCTCTACCAAAAACTAATCAGCACGATTCCCAACCAATATCTTTCGAACGGTTTTTGAATTTTCAAAATCGATTCAGAATTGCGGGCTAAAACGTAGACGAAAAATTTTTCACTTTTCTGCCATTTATGAAGAAACGGCTTGGCCGATCGTCGCACAAAACTGACAAACAATAGTTCTCGTCGAGATACATCGAATGGCTTTTAAATTTTTGAAATCGGTCCAGCCGTTTTCGAGAAAACGTCGATTTACGGCAAAAAATCTGTTCACATACACACACACACACACACACACACACACACACACACACATACTTTTTCCAAATTTGGTCTCATTCGATTCAGAATGGCTTGAAACGTCGAGAAAACATAAAATTAGCGAATCGGGTTTTTTGATGAAAACATAAACTTCTCCTTCGGGAAGTTAATAATCGACAATAAAAAATATAAATATTCATTAAGATTTTTTTAGAACAAAAAACATTTTTAGGACAGGTTGCCGCTTTCATCTTAAAATAAAAATCATTTTTTTACAAAGTTTGATATTTTATAAAGTTAAGATGTGATAAAAATTACCAATAATCAACAATAAAAAAATAAAAATATTCATTTACATTTTTTCAGAACAGAAAAAAATTCTTACAGTTTTTTTAACTTCTTCAAGAAGAAATTTATAGATCCCCAGAAAATTTTCAGACTTATTATATATTTAGTGCATTTAAATTAATTTGTTGATATCTACGACTTTATAATTTCATTCTTAATATTTTCTATTAAGATTTGTTATCACTAACAATTTTCTTCAATTTTCAAATTATTTCCAGAACTTTTGTTAGAATATTGTTTTTTATTTTCGACGAAATGTTTGCTAATATTTTCAAGAATTTAATTCAATGTCGAATAACAAAATTTCAATATATATAATATATATATATATATATATATATATATATAAATTGAAAAAAGTTAGAATGTAGATCTTAATTGGCGTTAACGCAGTGATCAACTTTTATTTATGTTAATATAAAATATAAATATATAAACATAAATATCTCTATTGATATATATATATATATATATATATATATATATATATATATATATATGCAAATAAAATCAATTAGATGTGTGGGAATGTTTTTTCAAACATTCTAATTCACTTTTTAAGAGAAATGTCGACCTTGAATAAATGATCTTTCCAATTTATGCTAATTTATTGATACATTTATAAATAAATAAATAAACCAACATATATATATATATATATATATATATAATTAAGTGCAATATTGTATATAGATAACTATTTATCAAAAGTTTCTATCACGGTCAATATGCATAAGTGAATGTATTTTGATAAAGATTCTTGAAAAAAAAATTAAGAAAAATGTTTATATGATGAATAAATATTATCATATTATCAATTAATTATTAAAATGAAGATGTCTTCGTTATATTAATTATACTAATACTGATACTTAGTGCAACATTTTTTATCACAAAATAAAATTAAACTGTGAAATGATTAAGGAATATTTGAATAGTAAAATCAAATTTATAAATAGATAAATATATACAATTTATAATTAAGTAAAAAAATAAATAAATAAATTTATTTGGGAACAGAATAAATATATGAAATGCAAACAATAAATGAATGAATAATTAAATATTTATATGAAGAGATAAGTTTTAGTAAATGATTATACTGAAAATATGAATGAATAAACAAATAAATAATCAATAAATGAATAAAACCATAATTTATTAAATATATTGAAAAAAAAACGAAATGTTATATATAAATACATAAATAATTCAATTGAAAAAGAATAAATATATTAATTGAAGAAAGAAGATTTTAATTTGATTGAGCATCAAATAAATAAAAGAACCTCCAAAAGATGTATAAGTTTAATAGATAATTTTATAAACAAATTAATAAATAAGTTTAAAAAACAAAGTAAAATATAAAAAAATAATTAAATGATTTGGTGAAAGTTAATTAAAAAAATGTTACATGAGGGAATAAATGAATGAAAAATTAACTAACCAAAGTTAATCGAGTTACATCGAATTTTAAACTATTTAAATCGGTTCAGCAGTTTTTGAGAAAACGACGATATAAGGTCAAAAATCTGTTCACACACACACATGCTTTTTTCAAATATGGTCTCATTTGATTCAGAATGACTTGAAACGTCGAGAAAACCATAAAATTAGCAAATCGAATTTTTTGATAAAAACATAAACTTCTCCTTTGGGAAGTTAATAAACAAATAAAAACATTCTAAAAAAACTTCTAAAAAAATATATGGATACATGCACAAATAAAATATTTAAAGTTTAAAGTTAATAAATAAACAGATAAATGCAATAACTTTCCAAAGGAGAAGTTTGTTTTCATCAAAAAAATCCGATTCGCTAATTTTATGTTTTCTAGACGTTTCAAGCCATTCTGAATCGAATGAGACCAATTTTGGCAAAAGTATGTGTGTGTGTGTGTTTATGTGACTAAATAAATTAAGCAGATTACTTGATGAACAGTTATACAATTAAATAAATAATTAAAACTAGAACTAAAAGTAAATAAATCTAAATATATACTAGATAACCCGACAGACGTTGTCCTGTACCCACATCTACGTTTTTTTCAATATCCTATACTAATATTTACCGTTCAGTTAAAAATAATAATTATTGTTTTTCGAATTACTATTTACACCAATATATGAGTGATGTTAAATGTAGAACTGCTTCAAATAAAATGATGATTCCCAATTCCCACAGTTAACATACTTTAATTATCCCTTTAACAAATATCAAAATATGTTCAATAAAATTGTACATTAAAAATTATCCACTGCAATTTATAGAACAAATTTCCAATAGCTCAATTCATTTTAATGCCAAGGGTTATCCAATATTTTTAGTCATACCTATAGATGTGGATGTATAAATGAATGATTGTTTGTTTATTCACGACTAAAACATTGATTTTGTGTAATAGAAAAATAATAAAAAGCAATAATTAGTCAGAAGAAAACCTTGAATTTTCATCTATACACCTTTATACGCATCTTATAATCTCGTATAATAATGAGAAATTGCTTGTTGTTTTTAAATAGATTTTTTATCATAAAATCATGAGCTTTTTGAAAATCATTTGTACTAAAGTTGTGGTATTTTCTAGAACCCATCAAGATTTCTTAAAACCAAGTTAATTCTATATATATATATATATATATATATATATATATATATATATATATATATATATTAGGGTGGTCCTTAACAGGGTCATTTTCGAATTTCCTTGCTCCCAGGGGCCCAAATGGTTCCAAACAGATAAAAAACAATTCTCTGAAAGTTTTAGCTCTTAATATTAGCGTTTAGATAGAGCGCAATTCAATCAAAGTTTTGTATGGAAATAGCATGGAAAAATTTTCAAAAATTTTAAAAATGTTTTTTAGATGCAATTTAGCGAACAAATGAATGAATAAAACTCATTTGTAAGTTGTACCTAAAACATTTTTTTTAAATATTCAAAATTTTTTCCATGCTCTTTCCATACAAACTTTGATTGAATTGCGCTCTATCTAAACGTTAATATTAAGAGCTAAAACTTTCAGAGAATTGTTTTTTATCTATTTGGAACCATTTGGGCCCCTGGGAGCAAGGAAATTCGAAAATGACCATTTTAAGGACCACCCTAATATATATATATATATATATATATATATATATATAATGATGTAACTTCCTACCTGGTCGTTGGTGCAGCCCCTGCCGCACCTGATCCGATGCACCGTCAGCAGGTAACCGTCTTCCGTCTGGACGACATGCGCTTCCGCAGGATATCCGTGACGCTTTATTATGTCCGGCTACGAGAGAAAAAAAAATCAGGAATTAGGCAAACAATCGAGACAATAGAATAATAAAACCAACAACACTATACAAAATTTCTCTTGCACAACCACAATCCAACCAGTTGATTGTTAGTCATTATTGGGGTCAATTTTTTACATTGCCAAATATTTGTCGTTTAATTATGACTGTTTTCCGTAGGAAATGTTCGAAGAGCTACATTTTTTATGAAATTCTACAAATTAAATATTTCACGACAAACACAGACGAGCGGTCGCGTATTGTTTTGCAATAGTACAAGAAATTAGCATAGGCGCTAAAAAAAACTCTTTTTTGTCGGTTTGTTGAAAGAATTAATCGAGAATCGGACAACGCACGTTGACCTGTTTAAAAAAATAGATAGAATATAATAAAACTAATTTTATCTTTGTCTTGAATTTTTTTCTTAACACCTATAAATTAAAAAAAATGTCAGCGTTATTTATGTTTCATAAATTTCCAAAAAAAACGTAAAGATAAATATTTATTTCCAAAACAACTTGTTTGGGAACCATTCTAACCTGCACACAAGATTTCAGATTCTAAAAAAAGAACTCTACTGACGAGCAAACTGAGTCTAGAAAATACAAAGAAAAACATGAATTTATTAACGAGAATTGTAGAAAATATATAAGGACTCTACAGACGAGCAAAAGAATCTAAAATATGAAAAAAAGCATATTTTTACTGTTTTTTAAGATGAAATGATGACTGTACTAACAAGTAAATATTTTTCAACCTGAATAATAAAAATAGGACTCTACTGACGAGCAATCTAAATCTCGACAGGAACCAAATCTATTATCCGAAAAATTAAAAAAAGGGACTATACTGATTAGTAAACAAAATTTATACATAAAACAAAACAAATTATACACTAACGGACAATTTAAAGAAAAATATCTAAAAAATAATGTAAGGACTCTACTGACGAGAAAACTGAATCCCATCATAAAAAAATGTTGTAGTGACAATGTGATTGAAAAAGATTTGATTGAAAAAGATTTGATTGAAAAATATAAAAGAGGACTCTACTCACGAGCAAAATATATTATACAAAAAATATCCAGGCTCTATATTTTTGCAATCACTATAATATGAAGTCCACGTTCCGACTAATTTTATTCAAAATTTCCATATACAAAAGTATTTAACAAATTAGACTAAATTGACGTAGATTTTATCTTGATTTTACTGAAATGAACAAATAAAAGTGTCCGGATTAAAATTCGCAAGTTATTTGATCAAATGTGAAAAAACGTCCTAAATCCAAGTACTGTTATCTACAAGTCCGTGATTCAAATAAGAATTATTTAGAATTTTAATATGCAAGTGTATATAACAATTTATACTAAATATCAGTAAATTTTATCTAGGTTTTACTTATATAAAAAAGTAAAAATGTCTAGAAAAAAATTTACAAGTTCATCAAATACATCAAATATCTACAGGAATCCGATCAGGAGTCTATCTTAAAAACAGAATGTTACTAACGAGCAAAGTGAAGATCGATTTGTTCCTAAAACTAACAAAATGCTACATTAAGAACATAACTCTTCACGGATCAAAGACACGGACTATATATAAGATAAACTGAAAAAATTCTATATGTGGTGATAAACAGGAAAGACAAAAATCGTTAGATGAATATTAAAGTAGAGATCAAGAAGTGCTGAAAAAGATAAATTGGACCGACCAGATGACAATTGAAGATGATCTGCAAAGAATAAACTCTACTGACTGAACAAAAATGAATTGGACTCATATTAGTGCTAAAGAAGATAAAACTGAAGAACAGATGTTGCAAAAGTTGCATCACCAAAGAAAATACTGCGAAGTGATCAAAGACGTTCCAAGAAAAAGATAATGGTACATTGGAAATTCCTCGGTCTGAAAAAACTAAGTTTCAACTAATTCTGAGAAAAAAGTTGCTTGAAAACTAAAATAAACTTGGAAGCTGTACTTGATGCAGATTGTACCAAAAGGGTATTATAAAAATCAAAGACACGGAAACACCAAGTCAACAGTTTCGATTTCATTCAATTCGCATAAATCATAATAACCGACCTAATAATTCAATTCCTAATTCTGTTATCCAATTTTTACAATCAGCAAAATAGCCCAGGGGCCCCACGGACGAGTCTGGAGCCCGTTCTGGAAGGCACGAGCCCCTCTCGAGACACGTTTTATTCGTGTTTTGCATTTTAATGTCGCAACGTGTTCGGTCTTTAATCAAAACCCAATCATTGGAAAGTTTAATAAATAATACACACAAAGAATTTGTATATATGTATTTAATTTAATATATATGTATCGATCTATTGATCTGTTGCGAACGTTTTGAATATTTTGAAACGATTATTAATTAATTACAAAATATAAAAAAACTAAGACGAGGTCTCTCGAAGGTCGCAGAGAAAATGGATATATATATATATATATATATATATATATGTATTTAATTAAGTATTCAATCAAGTGGCCAATTAATAATTTATGTATTTACTAATTTGCGGTTTATTTTTTCAAGCAATCATATTACTTATATGTTCATAAATTCATATATTTTCTCAATCTTCTGTTTATTTATATATTAATTTAAATTTATTTATTTCTTGGCCCATTTACTTATTTATTTATATTATTTTTCATATGTAATTAACTGGTACAAAATATCCCAATTATTCCACAAAAAGCAAAAAAAATATCCAAGTCATAATGTACAAGTCCGTGTTCCGACTAGTTTTATTCAAAATTTCAATATGCAAGTGTATGAAACAATTTATACTAAATTTTAGTAAATTTTATATAGTTTTTACTAAAATAAATAAATAATAGTGTCCGGAACAAATTTTCCGGACTTTCTGAAATTTCCTAAATCCAAGTATTGTTATCTACAAGTCCTTGATTCACATAAGAATTATTCATAATTTTAATATACAAATGTATATAACAATTTATACTTAATATTAGTACATTTTATCTAGTGTTTACTAATGTAATTAAATTAAAATGTTGAGAACAAAATTTCACAATTAATCGACAAAATGATTCGACTAGTTTTTCTCAAAATTTTAATATAAAAGGGCAAATAATAATTTATACTAAATTATAGTAAATTTCATCTAGTTTTTGTTCACACAAATAAATAACAGTGTCTAGAAAAAAATTTCCAAGTTATTTGACAAAATGTAAAAAAATGTCCCAAAACCACTTAAAACTAATTATCAAACTCAAATCTGCGTTTCAACTACAAATTATCCAAAATTTTGGTATCCAAGTGTATATTACAATTTATACTAAATTTTATATAGTTTTTACTGATATTAACAAATGAAAGTGTATAGAACAAAATTTCCGAGTTATTTGACAAAATGTAGAAAAATGTCCCAAATCAACAAATCGATGATTAACGAATGAAATAAAAATTATTTAAAATTTTAATATCAAAGTTTATATAACAAATAATACTAAATTTTAGTAAATTAAATAATTTTGAACTTTTGATAATAGAACAACTTGGCGTACTATAAAAATAAAGAATTTTTCATCTTAAATGGACAACTAACACATTTATGCATATATTTCTTAAATGCTTTATAACTTTTGTAATATGCGTTTAATATAAATAAAATATTTGGCAAATTTGTTTAAAATTAAATAGTTGATAATGTTTACTAATACCAAAACACTCTGCAATAACTCTGTATACTCATAAATATCAATATAATATGGAAATGCCAATTAATATTGATATAACACGTGTTAGTTATTGAAACTTTAATTTCACATGTCAGGATATATAGAAATAAATTTAATATATATATATATATATATATATATATTAAAAATGATTTTCCATAATGAAAACGACCTTTGAGTTTGTTTGCAAAATCAGTTCGTGTTCGAACAATTAGTGAGTCTGAGAACTGACACTATTAGCCGGTTCTAGTTCAAGAACAGTTTCTTGTTTTTTTCAAGAACATTTTGTACATAACATTCTGAAAAAAAAATCGTTTCAAAAAAATACAATCTTGTATCATTATTTTTTGTACTAAAAAAAGTGTATTTTCGCAGCTCTATTAATTTATAAACCTATCTTTGAATGAATTTGCTTTATTTTGAGTCAGTTTTCTCTTTAAAGTATTTACCTTAATCCGCCTATATTATTTTTGTGTAATACTTAAGATTATATAACAGTTTCTCTACGGTTCAGTGTCAAGATAAAATCATCTTGAAATTGAGAAACTTCGAGTGTTTTATTACGACAATAAACGCATTGTGAATAACTGTGTCGACAATGTACCTACTTAAATCCACATTTGTAAACGAAATTGTTATATAATATTAAACAAATAAAATAAAATTTATATTCGAACGCAAAAGACGCACGAGCCAAAAATTATTGTAGATTCGTGGTTTTTAACCATAACCAATAAATTATTTATATAATCCAATTTAACAATAACATTACGTGCTACATAAAAATTAAACAAATCCATTTAAAAAAAGATCTATGCATTCATCAAATGAATCACGAATAAAATCTCTATTATTCACACTCACGTGATTCATCCTGTTTTTAAACTAAATATATATCAGGCCATTAAAAATGACGTGTTCTAGTAACTATTATTATTATTATTAATGAACTGATAATGAATTTTAAACAAATTGTTATTTATTGAATATAAAATGCGCACACATGATGTGTAAGGCCTAAGGTCAGAAAAGAGTCAAAGGTTTTTTCTAGTAATTGCATAATCATTTGCGTATGAGATTATATTGATGGAGTTGATTTGAATAATTGCTTTTGTTTAGAATTTAAATTATTTTAATTATAACAGCTAGTAATAATGTACGTTGAGAGTTAATAATAAAATCCTTACAGTTTCGATCGACTAAATATTTTTATATGTTTATCATTTATTTTTTTATTAATTCCTATTTTTTATATTATTATTATGTATTAAATATG